GCTGACCCCTGACCCCGTGTCCGGCGCAGATGGAGCGCGAGGAGGAGACGCGGGAGATCCTCCTGCCCAACTGGCAGGGCAGCGGCTCCCACGGCATCACCATCGCCCAGACCGACGACGGCGTCTTCGTCCGGCGCGTGCAGCAGAACTCGCCGGCCGCCCGCATGGGCGTGGTCCAGGAAGGTGGGCGCGCCCGGGCGGCTCTGGGACCCTGCGGCCTCCTGGTGGCATCTCAGGAGCTTCTGGCCTCGTGGTTCAAGCGTTGGGGGTCCAAATCCTGCCCCAGCCCGAGGATTTGGGGAGTGAAATTGGAGTTTTGGGGACTTGGGGGCGTCCTGGTGGCATCTCAGGAGCTTCTGGCTCCGTTCCCATGGGTGGTGACCCTGCAGTTCGAGTGCTGGGGGTCCAAATCCTGCCCCAGCCCGAGGATTTGGGGGGTGAAATTGCAGTTTTGGGGACTTGGGGGTGTCCTGGTGGCATCTCAGGAGCTTCTGGCTCCGTCACCCATGGGGGAGTCACTGACAGTGGGGACGGGGGGGTTCTTCCCTGAATTTTGGGGCTCAAAATGGGATTTTTGGGGTTGTTTTGGTGGCACCTCAGGCACTTCTGAGGGTGATGACCCCACGGCCACTCACAGTGGGGACAGGGGGCTCTTCCCGCAGAGTTTTGGGGTTGAAAATGGGATTTTTGGGGTTGTTTTGGTGGCACCTCAGGCACTTCTGCCTCTGTGCCTATGGGCGATGACCCCACGGCCACTCACAGTGGGGATGGGATTTTTCCCGCAGAGTTTTGGGGTTGAAAATGGGATTTTGGGGTTGTTTTGGTGGCACCTCACCGTCCCACACCCGTGGGCGATGTCCCCGCGGTCGCTCGGGGCAGGGCCGGGGGGTCCCCGCCGGTGTCCCCCCACCCCAGCCCCCTGACCCGCTGTCCCCCGTCCCCCCAGGGGATCAGATCGTCAGCGCCACCGTCTACTTCGACAAGCTGCAGTCGGGGGAGGCGGCGCAGCTGCTGCAGAGCCTGGGCCAGCACACGCTGGGGCTGCGGCTGCAGCGCCGCGGCGACCGCTCGCCGCAGGCGGCCGCCGCGCCCGGCAGCCCCGAGGTCATGCTGGTGAGCGAGGAGGAGGAGCGGGAGGAAGGACGGGAGGACGGGGATCGGGGGGAGAGAGGGGTGAAGGCGACGGTGGTGAGGGTGAGGATGAGGATGGAGGAGGATGAGGATGGGGGAGGATGAGGATGGGGATGAGGGGAAGATAAGGATGAAGGTGAGGGTGATGAAGGTGAGGGTGA